CCGGACTACGAGGACCCCGACGAGAACCCGGGTCCGGACCTTGACCCGGACCATCGCAGTTCTTTGCCCGACTATCTGATGCTGGAGAGTGACCCTGGACCCGACCCTCACCAGGAGAACCGGGAGGAGAACCGGGAGGAGAACCAGGAGGAGAACCGGGAGGAGAACTGGGAGGAGAACTGGGGGGAGAACGAGGAGGACTACGACGACATCACGGCAGAGGACGAGAAGGAGGCGGACGAGGACTACGACGACGTGAGATAAACAGCGAGGCCTTCTGGGACATGGAGTCTTCCTGAACTGATGATGCTGCAGTAAAGTGACAAAAAGAACGAGAAGAAGAAGAAGAAGAAGAAGAAGAAGAAAACCCCACGGAGAGTCACGAGTTTTACAAAAGTGTCTGAGCTTCTCTTTTCTTTAAATCTTCTCCTGGGAATAAACCGTCGTGTGGACAAAGAGACGCCTGCAGATCAAACCTGTGTGTCGTTTGTTCAGTCGTTTTTCAAAATCAAATCAAAAATAAGAAACAAAACCAAAATGAAAAAACAGACAATGATCGATTTTTCTCAGTTTTTGATTTTGTGTTTAAATGAAAAATGGAAAAAATGGATAATGGACTGAACCAGGACTAAAACAGGACTAAAACAGGACTAAGCCAGTCTCAGTCCTGGTCTCAGTCCCAATCCGGTCCTAGTTCAGTCCTAATCACAGTCTACACAGGTGCACCCCCGTCCCTGTCCTGAGACTCCTGGCTCAGTCCTGGTTTAGTCCTGGTTTAGTCCTGGTTTAGACCTGGTTTAGACCTGGTTTAGACCTGGTTTAGTCCTGGTTTAGTCCTGGTTCAGTCTGTTTTTTCATTTTGGTTTTGGAGACAAATAATGAAGAAAATTGTTGTTGTTTTCATTTTTTATTTTCAGTTTTATTTTGAAAACAAATGAACAAATGATTTGTCAGTGTGATTTGTCAGTGTGATTTGTCAGTGTGATTTGTCAGTGTGATTTCAGGATTTCTGAGCTGATTCGTTCAGGAAACATTGATTCGTGTAAATCAGCGCTCAGACTCTGCTCCTCACTCTCTGTCTCGTCGTTCGGCGTTTGTCGTTTGTTGTTTGTGTTCTGGCGCCTCCTGCTGGACAGTCACATATTTAACACAACTCTTCCTCTTTAAAGCTCCACTGTGTCACTTTCTGGACGTGGCGCGACACCTGCACGTTCCCACGGAAACAGAAAGATAAAAGACACACTTCAGAACATTTTGTACGATCATAAACGATGAACTCCTGTGTCGTCGTGAACATTTTTGTTACGTTTGTACGACATAAATGAACCAGAATCCTCACGTTTTCACTTTTATTACTACATTTATGATCGTAAAAAAAAAAAAAAAAAACTGTAATCAGAGTGAAAATGTGAGGATTTCGTTTATCGTTTATGATCGTACAAAATAAACTTTAGAACCTTCTTCATCACTGTGATTAGTTTGTACGACAACTAATGAAAATGTGTGTGTGTCTGTTTGTGTGTGTGTGTGTGTGTGTGTGTGTGTGTATTTGTGTGTGTGTGTGTGTGTGTGTGTATATTTGTGTGTGTGTGTATTTGTGTGTGTGTGTGTGTGTATTTGTGTGTGTGTGTGTGTGTGTGTATGTGTGTGTGTGTGTGTGTGTATTGTGTGTGTGTGTGTATTTGTGTGTGTGTGTGTATGTGTGTGTGTGTGTGTGTGTGTATTTGTGTGTGTGTATGTGTGTGTATGTGTGTGTGTGTGTGTATATTGTGTGTGTGTGTGTATGTGTGTGTGTGTGTGTGTGTGTGTGTCGACAGACATTTGCTCCAAAGGTGTAAAAAAACAAACAAACAAACAAAAAAAGTGTCGACCAAGTGATGACGTAAACAGTTGGGGCAGGACACTTTACGTTTTTTTTTTTTTTTAAACTTCATTTAAACTCCTTTTGTGCATCAGGTCCCACATCTGCACACGTCACTGTTCTTTGTTATTTTTGCTCAAACAAATAAAAAAAAATTTAAAAAAAGTGTGTGTTCCGTTTTTACGCGCAATGAATCCGCAACAAAACAAAAGTCTGAGACAAAAACCAGCGCACGATAAATGTTCTTTACGACTCTGTGTGTGTGTGTGTGTGTGTGTGTGTGTGTGTGTGTGTGGGGGATGGGGGTCTTTCCTGCACGTGAGTTCTGAAATCTCGCGAGCGGAGGTCCCGTGCGTAATGCGTGCGTCTTTCCTGCGCGCCGCTGCGGCCGTGGGCTCCTCCGCTCCTCCACAGCGTCCACGGCACGGCACGGCACGGCTCGAGCGCGCATTCCGACGAGCGCGAGCGGCATGTGAGCGAGCCCCGGGCCCCCGGAGCTCTTCCCCCCCCCGCCGCCGCCGCCGCCGCCGCCGCCCGCGTCCGCGCAGCACCATGTCCGGCGCGAGGGAGGCCGCGTCCTGCCCCGACGGATACAGAGAACTGAGCCCCGACGAACTGCGCGATCTGCTGCGGGACGACGCCAAGATGGACCAGATCATCCGGATCAACGACAAGGTCCGTGCGGGGTCCGGGGTCCGGGGTCTGACTGTGCGGGTCTGTCCGGGGTCTGGGTCTCTCTCTGCGGGGTCCGGGGGTCCGTGGGTCCGTGGGTCTGTGGGTCTGTCCGGGGTCCGTCTGTGGGTCTCTGTGTTTCTCCCCCACACGAGCACGGAGGTTTACCCAGGACTAAACCAGGACTAAACCAGGACTAAACCAGGACTAAACCAGGACTAAACCAGGACCGAACCAGGTCTGGACCAGAGCTTTAAAGTGGGGCTAAACGGGGACTAAACCAGAACCAAAACAGGACTAAAATATGGCCAAAACGGGACTAAAACAGGACTGGATCAGGGCTTTTAAACTACGTCTAAACTGGGACTAAACCGGGTCTAGAACAGGATTAAAACAGGACTAAACCAGGGCTGGAACTGGGTCTAAATGGGGACTAAACCAGGACTGGATCAGGGCTTCTAAACCAGGTCTAAACCAGGTCTGAAACAGGACTAAAATAGGACCAAAACGGGACTAAAACAAGACTCGATCAGGGCTTTTAAACCAGGTCTAAACGGGACTGAACCAGGACCAGGACTGAACCAGGACCAGGACTGAACCAGGACCAGGACTGAACCAGGACCAGGACTGAACCAGGACTGTAAACACGGACGAGCCTGATCCAGGTATGAACCCAGGTTCTACCAAAATGGACCAAACTTGGACCAGCGTCAAACCAGGACTAAACCAGGACTAAACCAGGACTAAACCAGGACTAAACCAGGACTAAACCAGGACTAAACCAGGTCTAGAGGAGTTCTGGTCCTGGTTCTGGTTCTGGTCCTGGTTCTGTGTCTCTTCTTGCTCGGACACGCGGGGAGTTATGCGCGTGAGCGCGTCTGTCCGCGCTCGTGTCTGTCGGTTTCACGCGGGGTGTTCGTCGGTATGCGCCGTGGTCTCGCGCCTGAACGGGATTTCGTGAGATTTCGTGAGAGTTCGCGAGGTCTGCGCGTGAACCGTGTGCGTGTGTACGTGCGCGTGTACGTGCGTGCGTGGCATGACCGGGCTGCGCCACACGAACACGGAGCCGGACCGTGCGCGTGGCTGTACGGATGTGTACGCGCACGTGCACGAGGGTCTGTGGTTGGACGGGAAGCGCGTGCACGAGACCCTGCACGCGCCGTTTGTCCAGAAAAGTTTGTCTGAGCCTCGATTTTAAAGTTCAGAAAGAAAAGACCCGACGAGACGAGTTCTAAAGTTCTAAAGTTCTCATGTTCTAAAGTTCTAAAGTTCTAAAGTTCTAATGTTCTAAAGTTCTAATATTCTAAATTCTAAAGTTCTAATAGTTCTAAAGTTCTAATGTTCTAAAGTTCTAATGTTCTAATATTCTAAAGTTCTAATATTCTAAAGTTCTAATATTCTAAAGTTCTAAAGTTCTAATATTCTAAAGTTCTAATATTCTAAAGTTCTAAATTCTAATAGTTCTAATGTTCTAAAGTTCTAAAGTTCTAATATTCTAAAGTTCTAAAGTTCTAATTCTAAAGTTCTAAAGTTCTAAATGTTCTAAAGTTCTAATATTCTAAAGTTCTAAAGTTCTAAAGTTCTAAAGTTCTAAAGTTCTAAAGTTCTAAAGTTCTAATATTCTAAAGTTCTAACTAAAGTTCTACTGTTCTAAAGTTCTAAACTGTTCTAAAGTTCTAAAGTTCTAAAGTTCTAATATTCTAAAGTTCTAATCTAAAGTTCTAAAGTTCTCATGTTCTAAAGTTCTAATATTTCTAAAGTTCTACTGTTCTAAAGTTCTCGTGTTCTAAAGTTCTCATGTTCTAAAGTTCTCGTGTTCTAAAGTTCTAAAGTTCTAATATTCTAAAGTTCTAAAGTTTCTAAAGTTCTAATATTCTAAAGTTCTAAAAGTTCTAATATTCTAAAGTTCTAATATTCTAAAGTTCTAAAGTTCTAATATTCTAAAGTTCTAATATTCTAAAGTTCTCGTGTTCTCGTGTTCTCGTGTTGTTCCGTCCCGGTGAACAGAGCTGCACTTGTGTTTTGTTCCGTCTCGTGTCCATTCGTCCCTGAGTCTCTGTGTCCCACAGATTTGTCCAGTTTCTACAGAAATAATCTGTGTGTCGTTCGTTTGTTTTTCAATATAAAATCAAAAATAAGAAAATGAAAAATCAACAGTTTTCTTCATTATTTGTCTCCAAAACCAAAATGAAAAAACAGAAAATGATTCGTTTTTTCATTTTTCGATTTTGTGTTTAAATGAAGAATGTAAAAAAACAGATAACGACTGTTTCCTGTTTACGTGACTTCAGTGACTGAGATGTCGGACTGAACCAGGACTGAACCAGGACCAGGACCAGACCAGGACCAGACCAGGACCAGACCAGGACCAGACCAGACCAGACCAGACCAGACCAGACCAGGACCAGACTCCGAGCTTTGACTCTGAGCCTTCGCAGGGTCCGAGCCTCAGCTTTGAGCTCTGGCC